GTTTGAATCCAGGGAGCGAGGTGAGTTCCTGGTGTTAGGCCCAGCTTCTGCCAACCTAGCAGTTCAAAAACATGCAAATGTGAGTAGCTCAATAGGTATCGCTTCTGCTGGAAGTTAACGACACTCCATGCAGTCATACTGGCCACATGACCTTGGAGGTGTCTACGGACAATGCTGGCCCTTTGTCTTAGAAATGGAGATGAGCACCACCCCCCAGAGTTGGACATGACTAGACATAATGTCAGGGGAAACCTTTACCTTTACTTATTTGCTATCTAGTGTTTCTAAGTTAGCAAATCTTGGGTTCTGTTTTTCAGCTGGTTCCATTTTCTGACAGTTGTCCAGTTCTTAACCCATCAGATAAGCAAAGGGGAAGGGGTTCCTGCCAGAGGGAAGTGCTTCTTCTGGGTTTGGATCTGAATGTAAAAAGGAACTATCCAAGGTCCTGCTACCAATCTCATTGAGTAGTCAGTATTTTTTAAAGCTTGGAATAAAACCACTCTGCTGACATCAGTCCCACTAACTACCACTGGCTGGCTTCCCAGTTATTAAACACCCTTTTTGGAGAAGCAGAGCTTTTTAATTTGTGTAAGCTTTAAACATTTAAAACCTCTTTGCAGTTTATTGATGCATTGTTATTAGAAGTTTTAAGATCCAAATACTGTTGGCTTCTGCTGGGAATGCTCTCCTCTGCCACTGGATTTATCTTCTACTTAAGTTTTATGGTTTTACTTTTGCATTTAATTGCATTACTCTGGTTTGAATGTCTCAGAAAACAACTATTGCTGGGCAGATTGTGCAGGCCGTAAACAAATTTAAATTGCCACGCTCTGCGCCTGGCATCCTGACTCCTGTTCTGCCATGGAATGGGATAAGTGGCTTCTTGTAAATTATTATCTTTTAGCTTAACCATCACCGCAAAGTGAATGTGAAGATAAAATGTAATTGTTGTAACCTGACCACCCCTAGTAGACTGTCATAGGAAAGCCATTTAGCCTGAAATAGCATAAATACATTAAAACTACAGTTTGCAGCTACATGAATGTGTGTGTGTGTACAAAAGGCTGTCAATCTGAATAATCTGGCATTATTATAATCTGGCTTTCCTATGACAGCAATTCCTTTATGACAGTGGTTCCCAACCTTTTTTGACCAGAGACCACTCTCCAACATCAGGGTTACAAATCAGTTTTTGGTCAACTTTAGATTCAGTTTGGCTATTTGGGGTGCTGATTCAGAAAACTGCATTGGATAGACCACATCAGCTCAAGTTTCAAATACAGAACGTATATCATCTAGTAGTCACAATCTGCTCGCCCACAGAAAATCACATTTAATAAGGCTCGGCACTGTAAGAGGGTTTCACGAGACCAGCCACTCTTGTTGCAATGGTGTAGTAACGGTGAGGCCACAGACCATATTTTAGTTCTTACGGATCACTGCTGGTCCACAGACCACAGGTTGAGAACCACTGCTTTATGATAAATGGGATGAGCCTCTGCTTGTGTTCCTAGATCTTGGGACCCAGTTTAGAGTCTCGGGGCACACAATCCTTTCTCAGGTTAACTGAACTGCCACAAGCAGTGTCTGTTTACACACATTCCTCAGTAAAATAAAATATATATGTTCTTAAGCATTGCTGCTTTAATAGAAACAACATGGATATATTCCTACACCATGAAAAAGGGAGAGCAGGTCAACATGTCTCAACAATTTTTTATTCCAAACTGACAATCTGCCCAAGTCAAATGAGACACCAGGTCAGGTAAGACTTCCATAAGTAAGCAAAATACTTTGAGCCTTTCAGAAACCAATTGAAGGCTCCTTCCAAACCACATCCAGAGATCTTTATTTTTAACCATATTTCATTTGTTGGCCACAATGCTATCCTTTTATAACCTGTTGATGTGTCTGGGCAGATCTGCTTATCTGCTCTACCCCTTTTCCTTCTGTTTTGTTGTTCGCACATTCTCAGTACAAGGAATATCAAGGGCAGATGCTGTTTACTCTGCTTACAACTGGTAGCTCTGGCACACACAGCCACAGAAGGATCAGCTAGTACAGATCATATCCTTTCCTAAGTGAACTTTATTTTATTGTTTATTACAGATGCACCACTGCAACCTAACCTTGGATGCCAGTGTTTTTCTAGCCCTCCTTTACCATACTCCTGTGCCATATCTGCCCTACCCTGGTTTCTGCCTTGGTCAGCAAGACAGAGAGTAGGAGTAACTATACCTTCTAAGTCTCTTGATTTGGCACTGTTTTTAAAACACCCCATTGTATTCATGCCTTCCCCCACTTTACCCTTTTGTCTTCAGCTTAGTTCAGTTGCTGCAAAATTAATTCAAGGTGCAAAAGTACTCTCTCTCTCTCTCTCTCTCTTTATATATATACTTACTTACTTAGGCGATCCCTCGTAGTCTGAGGATGATGATCCTTCAAGTTCGGTGTCCTGGGGGTAGGTTCGTAGGTGGCTGTGGAGCTCTATTCTTGACCTGCATCTTCTCCCACAGTGAGGGCATTGGTTTCCAGGTGGGTGGCGGTCTCGGTCGGGGTTGGCTTGACGCGTCTTCCTCTTGGCACATTTCTCTTTTTGTCCTCCATTCGTGCCTCTTCAAATTCTGCAGCACTGCTGGCCACAGCTGACCTCCAGCTGGAGCGCTCAAGGGCCAGGGCTTCCCAGTTCTCAGTGTCTATGCCAGAGTTTTTAAAGTTGGCTTTGAGCCCATCTTTAAATCTCTTTTCCTGTCCACCAACATTCCGTTTTCCGTTCTTGAGTTCAGAGTATATATATATATGGAGTCTGACTGGGAGGTGGTGCTCATCTCCATTTGTAAGCTGAAGAGCCAGTGTTGCCTGCAGACTTCTCCTAGGTCATGTGGCTGGCATGACTGCATGGAGCACTGTTATCTTCCTGCCAGAGCGGTACTTATTGTTCTACTGATATTTTCATGTTTTCGAACTGCTAAGTTGGCATAAGCTGTGAACTGCCCCTGAGTCCCCTTCAGAGTTGAAAAGGGCGGTATATAAATACCGCAAATAATAAATAAATAAATAAACTGAGGCTAATGACAGGAGCTAACCCTGTTCTGTGGATTCGAACTGCCGATCTTTTGGTCAGCAAATTCTACAACTCAGGGGTTCAACCTGCGGTTCCATTGGGGGCCCATATTTATGTACAAGTTTAGAAATTTTGGTCAAAAAATCTATCCAAAAAAACTGGGTCAACATACCCATGGGTCAAGTATTATACCAAAAGATGATAGCTTAGTCCATCCCGAGAAAACCTAAAAGATGTACCAACCCTCCTACCCTTTTCAACATAGCCCCACTTCTGATCTTCAATACTCTCTCTGGGCAAGGTGGCAAAATTGGTCAAGATGGCAAAAATTACTAAGGAGGAAGAGCACCCAAACTGGGAGAGGCTTCTGCAATTTCTTTTTGTCTGAGTCTGCTGGGAAGGGCAAGAACTCTTCTGCCCTCTGCTAAATGAATTGAGTGCAAATTATTTTTGATCTTTGAATTCAGTTTTAAGCAAGCTGAGGACAAAGCGGGAAAGTAGAAGGAGAGGGAAACTGGGACATTCTAAGAGCAATTGAAAAAGTGTGATGACAGAGGAACAGCCATGGATTTCCCTGCCAAATGATCTTGAGATCAGGGCACTTGTGGAAATAATCTTTATGTAACCTGTTATCTCACTGGACCATGGTTGAGGTGGAATGCAAAAGGGAAAGAAAGAGTTCCTCATTTCACTTCTGATACGAGTTTCTATATTGTGTTTCTGTGTCAGGATGTAAATATTCCACTATTTAATCCTTGCAGGTAAAAAAAGACTATTCCAGGAGTAAACAAACATTCAAATGTCCCAGAAGTCTTTCAGGGAAATTATTCAACAAAGCAAGACATGTGGATTGAGTTTTTTTAAAAAAATAGGAGAATGTATTTGCACACACACACACACACACGCAAACACGCACACACTCAAAAACCCATGTGTATTTCCTTGTAGACTACTGCCCTGCTGCATTTTGAGTCAATCAAATACTGGAAGAAAATGGCAGAAACATTTTTCAGCTTTATTCTTCTTCCTGATGGATTTTCCCAACTGTCGGGAAACCTTTTTTTTCCAACTGGGATATGAATAATTGAGGGTATGGTTTCTATCCATATGTCAGTGCATAGTTCGCAAATTTTTCAAAAAGGCTTCAACTTATTCTCTATCCATTCCTGCAAATAAATTAGCAATGAAATAACTACAAAAGGACATGAAGTCATCCAAATGGCAGTATAAAGGATGTGGGGTAAAGTTCCTTAATTGTGTCTCTTATGGAGCCAACTGCATGATCAATGTCAGGGATGTCTGTGTCTTGATTTTCTAGGGGTGAGAAACATATGAAGCTTCAGATATTGCCCTGTTTTAACAATCCATCTAGATTAGAAGAAAACTTCAGTGCCTTTTGAGTCATCCAGGGACTGAAAACAAAAGCAAAAGGTAGCAAAAACTGACTTTTAGTATAGTTTAGCAGGTTATCCAGGTTTGCTGGATAGCTACCTGCAGGTGATGATTTGACTGGAGATCAGTTATTGGGCTGGTCCATAAGACCTCTTCTAACTCTATAATTCTATATTGTTTTTTATTATTTGAAGTCATATTTCTATTCAATTAATTGCCGCCCAATGAGTTCTCTAAGAGATCATGTTACTAACAGCCATGTTGAGTTCTTGCAAAAGCTTCAATGGAAGGCAATTTACTGGGAGGTTCCCAGAAAAAAAGGTGCAATTTTGGTCAATCAAGAACTTCAAAATGAGGCTTCATTGCAACAAACCTTTAGAAATGTTATGGATGAAATTCTTCACTGTGTTTCTTTACAATGAAGCAAGAGGTAATTTTAGCAATGTCTGATGGTACACCAAACAAACAAAGTGATGTTATGATGTGGCTTCTTTCCACTCTAATACTTAACAAAATATATGTATGTTTTTTCTCTCCATTTCAGAGTTCTTGGAGGAATTCCCTGGAGAGAGTAGAGAGTGTGTTAACTGTGGAGCGATGTCCACCCCGCTCTGGAGGAAAGATGGAACAGGCCACTATCTGTGTAATGCCTGTGGTCTCTATCACAAAATGAATGGCATTAACCGGCCACTCATCAAGCCACAGAAAAGACTGGTAAGACTTGCCAACCTTCAACTGGTTCCTCTCCCCCTCACCTGCAAAAGATATGTTCAATATGATTTGATTCAATGGCAACTAGAAACTACTACACTTTTAAGGAGCTATCCAAGGTTCTGAATCATATCTCAAAATAGACTCAGCACCTTGGATAGATTCTTTTAAAGAGGAGGCTAAAACTTGGAACAACTTCACTGCCCCACTGCCATGGAAGGCAACAGCCACACTGGAAACTTTTTGTCTTGTTCCTTCTTTTTTTCTCTTGTTTATGGTATGCTGCTGGTTTCTGGATTTTATATTACTTTGATGATGAACAAGTGGCGTGACTTCAGCAAAAACTTTGCTTCTTGCAACAATTCAATGCCTGCAATGTACACATAATAAAATACATAATAAAATCCAATAATTACATACATAATATTAATTAATTAAAATCTGTTTCTGTTTCAATAACAGCCTGGTGGCCTTATCTGAGCCAAATTCTCTTGTTAGAGACTCCATCAAGCATGTCAATAGTCCATTTCCATAGCGATTGTCATCATTGTCACTGTCATTGTCAGCAAGATTACCCAAAGGCCTGGTCCCACATCCATGTTTCTAACTTCTTTCTTAAGGAAAGGAGGGACATCGATAATCTAGTTTCACGGGGAATGAATTCCACAGGCGGGGGGCCACCACTGAGAAGGCCCTGTCCCTTGGCCCCTTCCAAGCATGTTTGTGACAGAGGCAGCACCGAGAGCAGGGCCTCTCCAGAAGATCTTCAACTCAGAGGTGGGATGTAGACTAGCACTTTTAATTGTGCTCAGAACTGGACTGGCATCCAGTGGAGCTGACATAACAGGGGGGGGGGTGCTCCCTATATGATGCTCCAGTGAGTAGCCTAGCTTCCGCTAGACTAGTTGGAGTTTCTGAATAGTCTTCAAAGGTAGCTCCACATAGAGCACGTTGCAGTAATCTATTCGGGATGTAACAAGAGCGTCGACCACTGTGGCCAGATCAGACTTCCCAAAGTACGGGCACAGCTGGCGCACAAGTTTTAATTGTGCAAAAGCTCTCCCAGCCACCGCTGAGAGCTGGGGTTCCAGGCTGTAAGACAGAAGGACCAGGGCAGTTGTTTTCCTGTTCTGCCTCTAGCTTTCCAAGAAGCATTTGGCAAGATAGCCAGTTCTCATGCTAACCAAGCACTGGGCAGGTTGCTCTTGAAAACAGTGCAATATGTGTATGTCTCTGTGTGTATATAAATATATAATCTATGCATATGTGTCTAAAAATATTTGCAAAAATATTGTTACTTTATACTATTTGCGGAATAGTATTAGGCTCCAGAATTTATTAGTGAATCTTCGGAGTGCTGTTTTGTATTCTCCACATCACCCATGCTCACAAATATGCTACTTTTCCAAGTTTCAAGATTACTGAACCTCCAGCTTGGGGCTTACCAAAAGAAACTCATGTCGGCTCCTAAGAGCTCTGACGTCACCATCTGGGAGGCAGTTTGTCCATGTTTGACTTTTAACAGCGTCATATTACATCAAATTTATTGCATTTGTCTGTTGCCCTCTGCTATTATTCACCAAGTGTTCAAGTACAGCGTTCCCTCCATTGGTTGTTTGGAGAAGACATTGTATCCCTTCTGGCAGTAAAAATGTTGCTTTGGCCTTGGGATTCCAAAAGCACTTCCCATGAACTCCATCTGGCTTGTTTGTTGAACTGAAAAATGAAACTACCAGAGTCTAAGCTCAGAGCTTGCGGCTTCATTTTTTCTTTAGCTAGCACACTAGAATTCCGTTCAAAAGTACTTCATTAGTTGTTTCAAATAGCAAAGCATTGGGGGAAAGAGAAACCCCTGGTGGCACAATGAGTTAAACCCTTGTGCCAGCAGGACTGCTGACCAAAAGGTCAGTGTTTTGAATCTGGGAAGCTAGGTGAGCTCCTGTCTGTCAGCTCCAGCTTCTCATGCAGGGACATGAGCGAAGCCTCTCACAGGATTGTAAAACATCCAGGCATCCTCTGGGCAATGCCCTTGCATATAGCCACTTCTCTCATACCAGAAGCAACTTGTAGTTTCTCAAGTCGCTCCTGACATAAAGAAGAAGAAAAATTAGGGGAGAGGCGAGTAAGAAATGATGATGATTATTATTGACATAACACCATAGTATGTCACAGCAAACGAGATCTCTATGCTGGATTTCGTATCACAAAATCACAAGTTGAACACTTCCTAGATCTGTGTGATGTATTTTCAAATTATGCATACAGATCCAAGTAAGATGGCCTTTTGCAATTGTCAGGTCATGATTTTGTCAATGTTCATTGTTTCCAAATGCTGGCTGAGATCTTTTGGCACATCACCCTGTGTGCTGATTATTATTATTATTATTATTATTGTTGTTGTTGTTGTTGTTTGTGGGCTTATTTTACATTAATTTGTAATGTTACATGGACTTTAAACATGGCCACAAAACCAACCAAAGTGACCCTTCAAACATATTTTGGAAGTACCCAGTTTTACTTGGTACACCACAATAATGATGTTGCCTATCTTTTCATTAATGTAAAAACAGTGTCATCATGCCATTGCAATACTAAAAGCTATCATGTTATAGACAACGTAATTCATTATAATGCATTGTATGCATGCTGTCCTTTGGCTTATGACAAGACCCATATCTATATAATCAGTATACATAATTCCACTTATCCACATCTGACAAATTATGTCGTCTCTTGGCATTTTCTAAAGTGCATTTGATTAGGGTGTGGAGGTCATATCATGTGTTGCTTTGTCTTATACAACAAAATGCTTTGCCCCTGAAGGAGGTTTTTTGAGTGTGTGTTTTATAAAAAGCTGGATAAAATAGTTTTATGTCACTTGAGCAGGAGGGAGAATGGAGCAAGCTTCATCTGGCTACAGTTTTTGGGCCTTGCAGTTGAGCCTCTCTGTGAAACTTCCCTACATATTTTGAATAAATAGGTTTTCATGTCAGCTTATCAGCTACATTTGGCTCCCAAATGCAGTCTGTGAAGGGCTCTGTCCTGTTTTGTATAAACAAACCGCTGCAGGGAGCAGCGTTGGAGTCAACAACTACTTGGCCAAGGTCAAAACTCTTCATAGGCTGCTGAGAATAAGAAGGGTTGGGCATTCACTTTCTCTTAAGAACACTATTGAAATTTTCACAGCTATGTGGGCTACCTCCAAGTTTCTGCATAGCCAAAACAGACATTAATTTCTCTTTTTATTGTGAGTGGCAAATATTAGAGAGAAGGAATGTTTAAATGGAATTTTCCTCTGGTTTAAAGATTGCTTCTTTATTGATTCACTCAGTTAGGCGAGAACTCATAGCATTTTAAAATGCTGGTTTTATTTTTCTTAGCTGGGGAGAATACCTCTATAAGAATCTCTAGGTCCTCTGATTTGTCTCCATGGTCAACTTTTCCCAGAGACTGATCATAGAATTCTGTTGAAGGAACTAGAGTTTCCTAGAAAGACTATAACGAGGAAAGCAATAAACAAATACTCAAATCTGCAAAAGTTAAACTCTCAAATGTGGAGGGGCAGCTGTATACCTAAAGTGTTCTCTACTCCACAGAAACATGTGCCCAAATAAATGGGTTCATGTGTAAGATGCCATGAACCCCTTTTGTTGGTTTTTAAGGTCTATATAATTAGAAACAAAGCTTTTGCAAGGAATCGTGAACTGCAGCAAAGAAGAGAAGCAAATGGAAGATGTAGGCACAATTTCTATTTTAATAATTTTCTTTGCAACCAGACTGTTCCGATGTCTAGCCTGGCATTGTCACTCCATCCATCTTCCTAAAACACAGATCCCGACTGTGATGTTCATGGAGCTTGAAGTTTTGATTCTTGCTCCCTTCACTTAATTCATCATTTTATGGTCCTGGGTTTTTAATAGTAAAGTAAACAGATATGGAATTCTTCATCCTGCACGTAATTTCCTAGGCAGCTGGAAGATGCTCTTCACAGGCTGATACTTTCTCTCTTTTAAGGCTGAGAAGGAATAGGGAAGGACTTGAAGTGAGATCTGGCTGAAAACAGAACCAATCCGTTCTCAAGATATACAATCAGTTCTCTGTATCCATGGATTCTGTATCCACATCCATGGCTTGAAATATGTGTGTGTGTGTTTTTTAAAAAAATCAAGAAAATCTTGTTTTTGCCATCTATATAAATAAAATATATACACATCATGAGGAGACAGCAAAGCCTAGAGAAGACAATTATGCTGGGGAAAGTGGAAGGTAAAAGGAAGAGGACTGGAGTGGGTGTCCAGCCATTGTGTAGCCCGTTGTCGACCTTTGCAACCCGAAAGACAGTTGCATCTGTCAAGTAGGAAAATAAGGTACCACCTTGTGTGGGAGGCTAAATTAACTAATTTATGAGGCCATAAAGAAAACTCCGGGATGTGGAATGCGGAAGAACTTCATCGGTGTCACTGATGGACGATGAAAGCAGCAGCTCCCCTGGCGGCCAGAAAAAAGTTAAATAGCCTCTGTGTATTGTCTGTATTCGTTGTCTGTCAAACTGGCATTGAATGTTTGCCATATATGTGTATACTGTAATCCGCCCTGAGTCCCCTGCGGGGTGAGAAGGGCGGAATATAAAAACTGTAAATAATAAATAAATAAATAAATAAATAAATAAATAAATAATAAGAGGGGCCGACCAAGGGCAAGATGGATGGATGGCATCCTTGAAGTGACTGGACTGACCTTGAAGGAGCTGGGGGTGGTGACGGCCGACAGGGAGCTCGTGCGTGGGCTGGTCCATGAGGTCACGAAGAGTCGGAGACGACTGAACAAATGAACAACAAACAACATAAATAAAATGTAATGTTGGTTTGTGGGATTAACATAACTCAAAACCCACTAGGAAAATTGACACCAAATTTGGACACAATACACCTATCAAACCAACAAGTGATCATCACTCATAAAAACACTGAAAAACACAGAGGAAGTGACTTAAAAAGCCAAAAACAAACAAATACATTACAATGCATGTGCAAAACCACATATATACACAAGCACACATATATACACATTACACAAATACATACACACACAAAACACATGTACATAAAATGGGCCCCAACAACACGTGGCAGGGGACGGCTATTTTTATAAAAGGGACACAATTTTTACTATGAAATTGTATAGGATTGGACTTGGGGATCCATGTATTTTTGTATTCACTGCAGGCTGGAGACAGATGTGAGGCTGGAGATGGACTGAGGATCTGTGAAATGCATGGCATGTGGATTCGCCTCATTTCACAGATCCTCAGTCTCTCTCCAGATTGAATCTCTCTCCAGCCTCACAAACACAGTACATGCTACCCTACTGTTTTGGTATTGTTTTGTGTATTTTTGAAGCTGCAGTTGGTTGAATCATCGGATTTGGGAGGCCCACCATGGAAACACACTTGAATTCCAAGATCCTTTGTAACCCGCTTGGCATATTCCTTTCTTCTTGTTTTTCCAGTCTTCATCTAGACGTGCTGGTCTTTGCTGCACTAACTGTCACACAACCAATACGACCCTCTGGAGACGGAATGCAGAAGGGGAGCCAGTCTGCAACGCATGTGGATTGTACATGAAGCTGCATGGGGTAAGGAATCTGGCTTGTAAACCCTCATTTTTATGTAACTGTATCTCTACTTCATTTATATCCTACTCTTCTCCAATGTGGAATATATGAATTGCTAGTTTCAGATGGACTAGATTCAATAAATCAATAGCTGAATGATAAACCAGTACATATTTAAAACTATTCCAGAGTGTCATAAGGAAGAGGGAGCAGGACTCGGAGCAATGGGTTCAAATTACAAAAAAGAAGATTCCACCTGAACATTAGGAAGAATTTCCTGACTGTAAGAACTGTTCAGCAGTGGAACTCTCTGCCTCAAAGTATGGTGGAAACTCCTTCCTTAGAGCTTTTAAACAGAGGCTGGATGGCCATCTGCTGGGTGTACTTTGACTGTGTTTTTCCTGCATGGCAGGGGATTGGACTAGATGGCCCATGTGGTCTCTTCCAACTCTATTATTCTATGATTTTATGATATTCATTCAACAAGAATGTAATGCCCCTGGTGTAATTTTGCACTAGTTTTCTTCTTGAAGGAAGCAAGGAGTAATTTTAGCAGTGTTCATCCTTTTGTGAGAAATCATTTAAAATGATACAGTTTGCAAAGTCTGTTTGCAATTCTGGACTTACTAGATGCAAAATTCACATCTTGTGGTGCACAGAAGACACCATTTCCTGTGCTGAAACAGCATTTTTTTTTGCAGAAATAATATTTGCTGCAAGTAATAATTAACAACATTATGGGGCCATTTCCTAAGTCCCAGGTTTGGCCCAGAAAATTCAGGGCCATATATTCATATTATCTGTCCCAGTCTCATTAAGCTATCAATGTTCTATGGTGATTCCTCTTTGTAATTCATTCAGGTATTAGGGAAACTGGAATTTTTAAACACAATATCTATCAGAAGGTTCTCCAGATATTTATTTATTTATTTATTTACAACATTTATGTGCCACCCTTCTCACCCTGAAGGGGACTCAGAGCAGCTTACAAGTAATATGTAAATACAATATATTATATTATTACCATAACACAATGTTAGTATTATATATTACTGTATTGAACTATAGCATTATACTGTTATATTATGAGTAATATTACATATAATATAAATATATAATCATATTATTATTAGTATTATATTGTATTACATTATAATATTATCAATATTATATGTGTATACAATATATATATTGCTTCTCGGCCTTTTGGCTAAGATCAAGTGTAGTATTATTAGTAGTATTATATTGTATTACATTATGATATCAATATTATATGTGTATAAAATATTATATTATATTATATTATATTATATTATATTATATTATATTATATTATATTATTGAACCTCACATCTACTAGCCAAAGTCTGTGATTGAGAAAAATGGTGTACTGTGAAGGACAAGGCCATCTTATGTTTTGCATAAGTCAAACCTCCATACAGACACAACCTATGCACTTAGTATAGAAATGCAGATCTCATTGGGTGTTCTTGTTCTTTGCAATGTTCAGGTACCAAGGCCTCTGGCAATGAAGAAAGAAAGTATCCAGACAAGAAAGAGGAAGCCTAAAAATATCACGAAAGGCAAATCCTCAACAGGTAAGACATTATTATGATTGCTGTTGTGTAAAGTAAAAAGAGACAGAATTATGTTCAAAGAAACTTGTTGTCTAGAGTAATGGAGAAAAGTGAAAGAAAATGAGATGGAGGGTCTCCATTTTTGGTGGTTCTTTTTCTCTCTCCCACCCATCTTGTATAATTTAGCAGTGCTATTGTTTACATTCAAACCCACCATACATAAAAAGTCTGCAATCTAAAGCTGATCAACGCATCCCAAATTCTTTCCCATAAGACTTAGAAGTAACATGACAGATATCTTTCAGTATCTGAAGGGATGCCATGTGAAAGATGGAGCTAGTTTTTATCCTGTTGCTCCACAGACTAGAAATCAATGGATTCAAGTATCAGCAAAAGATATTTCACCTAAACCTTAGCAAGAACTTATTTCCCATTCTTGGAACTGTTCAGCAAAGGAAAGGACTTCCCTGGAGGGTGGCTGACTCTCCCTCGTTGTAGGTCTTTACATAGAGGTTGAATGGGCATCTTTCAGAAGTGCTTTAGTTTTGTGTATTCCTATAGTCTAGAGAGTTGGACTAGAAAGACAATGTGGTTTTTTCTATCCCTAAGGTTCTATTATAATCAGCCCTTCACATTTGCGGATTTGATTAATATGTTCTACTAAAGGAATCTTTTAAGTCCTCCAGTGCGATTCTGTGGCCAGCCAGTCCGTGGTGGTACAATGGGTTAAACCCTTGTGCTGCTGAACTGCTGACCTGAAGGTCATCCGTTCAAATCCGCAAGATGGGGTGAGCTCCAGCTCCTCCAACCTAGAAGTTTGAAAACATGCAAATGTGAGTAGATAAATAGGTACCACTATGGCAGGAAAAAGGCAAAGAGACGGTCCAAGCAATCTTGCTGGCCACACAACCAGGAGGTGACAACACAGGCTCCTCAGCTTGAAAATGAAGAAAGCACCTCCCCAGAGTCATAGCTGAGCACCACCTCCAGAAACCCTTGTCGTGTGGGGTTCCTCAGGGCTCTATACTGTCCCCCATGCTGTTTAATATCTACATGAAGCCGCTGGGTGAGATCTTCTGGAGTTTCGGGGTACGGTGTCATCTGTACGCAGATGATGTCCAACTCTGTCACTCCTTTCCACCTGCTACTAAGGAGGCTGTCGAGGTCCTGAACCGGTGCCTGGCCGCTGTAACGGTCTGGATGAGGGCGAACAAATTGAAATTGAATCCAGACAAGACAGAGGTACTCCTGGTCAGTCGCAAGGCCGAACAGGGTATAGGGTTACAGCCTGTGCTGGATGGGGTCGCTACTCCCCTTGAAGGCGCAGGTTCGCAGCTTGGGTGTGATCCTGGATTCATCGCTGAGCCTGGAGCCCCAGGTCTCGGCGGTGACCAGGGGAGCATTTGCACAGCTCAGGCTCGTGCGCCAGCTGCGCCCGTATCTTGGGAAGTCTGACTTGGCCACGGTAGTCCACGCTCTGGTTACATCCCGTTTAGACTACTGCAACGCTCTCTACGTGGGGTTGCCCTTGAAGACGGCTCGGAAGCTCCAATTGGTCCAACGTGCGGCAGCCATGATACTAACAGGAGCGGGGCACAGGGAGCATACAACCCCCCTGCTGTACCAGCTCCACTGGCTGCCGATCTGCTACCGGGCTCAATTCAAGGTGCTGGCATTGGCCTATAAAGCCCTAAACGGTTCCGGCCCAAGATACCTAACTGACCGCCTCTCGGCCTATGAGCCCACGAGGACTTTGAGATCTTCCGGGGAGGCCCTGCTCTCGATCCCGCCTGCGTCACAGGCACGGCTGGCGGGGACGAGAGATAGGGCCTTCTCGGTGGTGGCTCCTCGGCTGTGGAACACCCTTCCCGTAGACATCAGGCTAGCCCCCTCCCTGTTGATATTCCGCAGGAAGTTAAAGACCTGGTTGTTTGAGAAGGCATTTGAATAGTAGTGCAATGACGGGTAACTCGACCATAGGAATGGAACAACGGAAATGATATTGGATTGTGAACTTGACGATGAGACGACTCGGAATGGCTTGTAGTTATATTAATGTTTTTGATGAGATGTTTTGATAATGATGTACTGTGTATTATTTTTTGTATGTTGAATTTTTGCACCTGTTTTTCCATGTTGTACACCGCAATGAGTCGCCATTAGGCTGAGAATTGCGGTATATAAGCGAAGTAATAAATAAAATAAATAAACCAGAAATGAAAGGAGAAGCCTTTGCCTTTGTTTCTGTGTCTCATTGTATATTATTGTAAAGGCACTGAATATTTGCCTTTGTAAATCTGCTCTGAGCCCCCTAGGAGAGAAGGGTGGAATATAAATAAAGTGTATTATTATTATTATTATTATTATTATTATTATTATTATTATTATTATTGAAGCTGTGCAGCCCATGTTCCTGCTGTTATTGCCCTACCCCTTGCTTTCCAAGATTATTATTATTATTATTATTATTATTATTATTATTATTATTATTTTGGTCAACAAAAAAAAGTGGCCCCCCCCCCCCCCCCCACTTTCCTGCATCTCAGTCCTGCAAAAGTGGAGTACCTACTGTATTCCATTAATGCAATGGTAATCAGTTATGTACTGGTAAAATCTGAAGCGCAGATAAGCCTCAAGAAAACCCTCATAGCCACATTTGGAAGAAGAATCCAAATATTCAAGCTGTTTTGTATATTGTGTTGATCTTTACCAACCTATCTGTTCTGTCAGTTTTCATCCCCAGCAAAAGCAGGCATTTGGTGAAGCTAAAGACATTGGTTGCTTGTTTAAGATGCATTTAGCCCTCCCAAACTTTGCCTGACAACACTGAATGTTTCCAATAATATATTGTTGCTGGAAAACAAGATTTTACCTACCCTCCTGCTTCTGTAAGAATTGTTCCTAAACTCAGAACAGATGGGAGCTGGACTGAAAGACCAAGTTGCCTACCACTGTTATCTAGAATAAGAGCAAATTCAATAATCTGGAGGAGCCCCCAGTGGCACAATGGATTAAACCCTTGTCCGGCAGGACTGCTGACCGGCACAAGGTGGTTCTAATACAGGGAGCGGGGTGAGCTCCCATCTGTCAGCTCCATCTTCTCATGCGGGGACATGAGAGAAGCCTCCCACAGGATGGAAAAACATCCAGGCGTCCCTTGGGCAAGGTCCTTGCAGACGGCCAGTTCTCTCACACCAGATGTGGCTTGCAGTTTCTCAAGTCACTCCTGACATGGAAAAAAATAGTCTGGAGACAGTGGGCTTGAAGGGAGCCATAAACATTTGACAGAAATGGAAATATGATTAAGCAACATAAGTGACGCTAATAAACCATGAAACCCCATACAGCCATGGAGATATATCTTTTAATTTAGATGTTATTTAACCACTCTTTCTTTCTTGATCTCTTTCTCTCAGGTTCCACAACTTCAACCACCAATTCCCCTTCCTCTATTACCAATTCTGAAAGCACCGTCACTTTAAAAACTGAACCTGCTGTAACTTCGCAATATCCTGGACAGTCTGTAGTGCCAGCTCCACAGGTAAAGAACAACAGGGTTTGCAAAATATTTGAACATATTTGAACCTGATTTGATGACATGTAGCTAGGAACAGGAAGCATATGAAAGCAGAATGGTCACCACAAAACTGACAACAATTACATTAAGTCTTTATTTGCAATCAACAGGCTACAAAATCTGCAGATTAAAAGGCTTATTTGAGAGAAATGTATATAGAACATAATAATACATTTAAAAATAAAACAGCTTTAAAAAGGTGTTTTTACAAACTAAATATAGTTAACATTGTTCTGTCCAAAATGGTGTCATGAGCATGACCAAATCTTAAAATTTAATTCCATCCTCTGTAAAGGTTTTGTTGGAACTTTTCAGCAAAATAGTTAAAACATGGCTAATAAAGATCCTTCTTGAACTGAATGACAGACATTGCCATTAAGACACACAAGGCATTTGGAAAATTCATAGGGAAGTATCTTCAGGAAGAATTTGCTATGTCCTCCGAGATTGTTCTGTATTGGGTTCTTCCTAGCCTCTTGATAGGAATCATAATATATTAAAAATACATGTAAGAGAGATTTAACTTCAATATTGTTATGGGGCTGCACAAGTTGTTCAATGAGATTTTATTCTATCTTCCAACCAGTAAGTTAGAAGAGAGAGAAAATATATAAATCAGGAATTTGAGATTCATTCCAGAGTATGGAGATTTTCTTTCCTTTATCTGTCTGTCTGTCTGTCTGTCTGTCTCTCTATCTATCTAGTTAGCTAGCTAGCTAGCTATATCTCTATCTTCCCTCTCCTCCCTTCCTCTCCTCCCTTTCTATTTGACTATAACTTGCTACTATCTCAGCTGGCTAGGGTGTTCTATGTACTCGAGATGCCCCATGTTTCCACTTCTCATGGCTAACCTCCAGGCAGGAGATGAAGATGCAAGTTTGCCTGTTTCAATGGGTTTATTTCCAGGCAAAAGTTAAGGTCTCTAAGCAGATCTCCAGTTCAGCCTAGTAAAGCTCAATTTATAGTTTACAAGACTCCACTGGATGTAACCAACTCAGGCCCCTTCTACACTGTCCTATATCCCATGATCTGATCTCAGATTATCTGCTTTAAAGTGGATTATATGAGTATCCACAGCCAGAAAATCTGGGATCAAATCCTGGGATTTTTTTTTCATGTCAAAAGTGACTTGAGAAACTGCAAGTTGCTTCTGGTGTGAGAGACTTGGCTGTCTGCAAAGATGTTGCCCAGGGGATGCCTAGATGTTTTACCATCCTGTGGGAGGCTTCTCTCATGTCCCACAGGATGGTAAGCGGTAGTTGACAAATGGGAGCTCACTCCACCTCATGGATTTGAATTGCCGACCTTCAGGTCAGCAGTTCAGCTGGCACAAGGGTTTAACCCATTGTGCCACCATGGCTCCAGATCCCGGGCTATAGGGCAGTGTAGAAGGGTCCTCAATTAAAATGAAACATAGCCCTATCATTATTTAATGTGAAAGATCTCCTGGGGGCAAAACTCCATACTTGTAATGGTTGCACATTCATTTGTTTCCTTACTGTAAATCCTTGCAGGGCCCAAACCAATCTGAAGATGCCTTGGCTGACAGCCATCCCCAGTTCAAGTACGAACCAGAGGATTACGCCTTTTCTTCCAACGCTATGACCCAACAATCAGGACTCAGCGTTCCCCTTCGTCAGGACTCGTGGTGCGCATTGGCACTGGCCTAGGAAACCAGTCTTCCATTTTGAAATAAAACATGCTGCGGAACAACCCTTGATTCTCATGCCATCAGTGGACAGACGGACAATGGACCTTCCTGCTGAAGCGCTTTGCACCTGAGGTTCCTTGTAATCAGCATAGTTCTTTGTTCCCAAAGACCAATTTCTTTCCTTTGGCAAGAGGATGCTTCACTCGAACACCACTTGAGATGGGCAGACTGCCTTCTTCTTGGTGCGCCTGACTCTACCGACCTTTGGTTCTTTGAAAGCTTTTCCTGATGTACAATACCAATCAAAAGCAAAAGAAACAGGGACTTCTGTGCTCAGTAGGAGGTCTCTCTTTTTCCCTGTGATCCATTCTTACAAGAGAAATCCAGAATCTATTTTGTTCAGAGTGATTTCCACCCCACCCTCTTTTTAATGACCCCCCTGTGTGCAATTTTACTCCACTTCCCAATAAAAACTATGATAAAACGTGGCACCAGTCACTTAATTTTATTAAGGTGTAAACAAACACTGTTGACTTTCTAATGTGGATTGGTGGTGGCAAGGCAATGAGGAAAAGAAGAAGAAGGAGCACAACCCCTTTTGTTTGAAAACCTTTGCTGTTGTATATTTAAAAACCAATCCTCCTCTAAGACTCTTTTAGCTTCCGGAGTGCCTAATTTATCACCATTAATAAGATGTCACGCATGGAAACTCCCTTGCATTGCGCTTCCAAGCATAGCGGCTCTTCTGGCAAAAATCTCTCAACACTCCATTGCACTAGGAACACAATCCAAATGGGGCAAGGCAGATCAGAACATACCAGTGGGGGCTACCATGTCCCCCTCCCCTAATTGCTCCTACTCATTGCATAACAGTTTGAGCCCATTTTATAAATGGCAGCATCCAGACAAAGAAGCAGAGCCAGCTCCATCTTTACCATTGAGCCTAGTAAAGCAGACATCTCAGACAGATTTTGGATATGATCACAAGCTAGCCAATTATTAATCATTTCTTTTGTTGTTATTGTTTGAGACTGATGGGCTTGAGTCAAATATGCTGGAAAATGCTCTTTCTCCCCATGCCATAATAATGTAGATGATTTCATAGAATCATTGAGTTGGAAGACACTTTGTGGGCCATCCGGTCCAAGCAGGAAAATCACATTCAAAGCACCCCTGACAGATGGCCATCCAGCCTCTGTTTACAAGCTTCCAAAGAAGGAGCCTCCACTACACTCCAGGGCAGAGAGTTCCACTGCTGAGCAGCTCTCATGGTTAGGAAGCTCTTCCTAATGTTCAAGTGGAATCTCCTTTCCTGTAGAATTTGGGGTATTATACATCTAAGTTAGCCGGGATCAGGAATATGGTATTCCTTCTCAAGCAGCCAAATATCAGGAGAGTCATCAGTGATAGGCTATCAAATCTTATCCCCCCAAAAGCGAAGAAGTGTGTGTATATATATATATATATATATATATATATATATATATATATATATTAATGTCCAGGGTGGGAGAAAGAACTCTTTGTCTGCTTGAGGCAAGTGTGAATGTTGCAATTGACCTTAGCATTGAGAGGCCTTGCAGCTTCAAAGCCTGACTGCTTACTGCCTGGGGAATCCTTTGTTGGGAGGTGTTAGGTAGCCCTGATTGTTTCCTCTCTGGACCCCCCCCCTTTTTTTTTTTTTAGTGTTGCTCTTTATTTACTGTCCTGATTTTAGAGTTTTTTTTCATACTGGTATCCAGATTTTGTTCATGTTCATGGTTTCCTCCTTTCTGTTTAAATTGTTCACATGCTTGTGAATTTCAGTTGCTTTTCTGTGACATGGTGGTTGTTAGAGTGGTCCAGCATTTCTGTGTTCTCAAATAATATGCTGCATCCAGGTTGGTTCATCAGGTGCTCTGCTATGGCCAATTTCTCTGGTTGAATTAGTTTGCAGTGCCTTTCAAGTTCCTTGATTCATGTTTGGACTCTGCATTTGGTGATTCCATGTCAGACTACACATCCCTGCGCTTTACAATTTAAGGAGACATATTTAGAATTCTCATCCATGGGGTCCTAGTGCATCTTCAAGTCAATTGGGAGAGAAAAGGACATAGACAATATAATCAGCAAACCACATGAGAGACGAAGGCCAAGTCACACAGAAGATGAAATACCTGTGTTTGAGGAAAAGCTTGAACAGACTGTTTCTGAAGCTGGTGGATACTGTATGTATTTAAGCAGAAGACAGACAATTGTCTATCAGGGGTGTGTGACTGCAAGGCATTGGAGAAGGTGAGCTCCAGGCTTCCTTCCAGCTATAAAACATTTTCATCCCTTCCCCCCAATTTTAATCTTGACTTTCAAATTGCAGACCATTAAAACTTCTATTGTCCAGGTTTGTTTCTTTCCTTAACCAAACTAGATATCTTTTAGGTTCCTTGTGGAGTAGGATAAAGAAGAGAGGTACTGCGTTGTAGTAGCTGTGACTGGAAAAGGTACTTTTTGAAGACTAAAAGTTCTATGTATTGATTAGATTGCTACTTGGGATATCCAGGTTTAAGTCTGCCCTGGATAATCTTGGACAAACCACCCTTTCTCTCAGCCTGACCAACTTCCCAATCTTGTAAAGTCAAAGTGGAAGAAAGGAAATTCACAGAATCTGTCTTGAGGTCATAGTAGAAAAAAACTGAATTTCAGTATTACAGATAATTAATGTCATATGAACACATGATCCTTTATATAACAGTTTCTAGATGTGGTAGGGATAGCCAAGGCTTTGAGAAAGAAATAGGGAACAATGCAAAGGGACTATTTTAGTTTTCTTAGTTACCTATTGTTGAAACCCTCTCTGAGAAAAAGGAAGAGAGCCAGAGGAGAGCACTGGAGTCTTTGGAATTTGCTGGGCCCAATTGTTGAGTAATTTTGCTCCAATATAGCCATGGCTATTTATACTCAGGAAGTTGTCAAGGGATAGTCCATTATGTGGAAACAAACTGGCACTGGGCTTCCTGCCCTGGTTGTTTCCCCTGTCAAAGAGAAATATGTGGTTTGTTTTCATAATGGGAGATGTGCGCAGTGTCCCACGGTACTGAAGGAGAGAGGTTACAGAGAGGAGACGGAGGACATTTCTGAATTATGGAGGCCTTGCAAATTATGGAGCCCTGACAAAATAGCTTACCCCAACCTGGCCCCTTTCATTTCTGCTGGACTTCAGCTTCCATTGCTGTTGCCCTCCAGATCTTGCCAGATTCCAGCTCCCAACTGCCCTCACCAACAAGGGCAATATCAAGGATGTTGGAAATGTAGTTCAACAACATGTTGTTAGATTCCAGTGCCCAACATCCCTGACCACCAGAAATATTACGTGGAACTGATAAGACTTAGTAAGGCCTTTGAGGCATCAAAGAGCAGTGGAGTATAAAAGAAAACAACTCAACAACAAAGTGCAGTGATGATGGCAGACACATTCGTCACAGCTCAGGAAAGGAGGGATTGTCTCCTACTTCTGTCACTTGTCTTTATGTGGCTGTTCTAGTTGTTGTAAAGGAGAACAAGAAAATGTCTGAAATGTGGCTTTTTTGGGATGAAAGTTCTCAGACACTCCATTTAGCATGAATAATTGTCATGATGGCTGGACAGTTCTGGGAGATGCTGTTGTAGGATGATGTCTGTCTGTGAGTCACATGAGTCCTTTTCTAAAGGAAGCACAGGCAGCAAAACCAGCCATGACCTGACATCAATGGCTCCAATACAGTAGAGTTTCACTTATCTGACCTTAGCTTATCCGACATTCCGTCTTATCCGACTCTCTTATCCAACCTCCCTTTTCCTCCAGCATTTCCCCTTCAGTTACAGGAGCGCTCCTCAACTTTCCATTCGCAATAAGTGAAAAAGGCAAGACAAGGAGGAGGTGGAGGGAGGAAAGGGGGAAAAGAGACAGGACTGGAAGTGGAAGCATCCTCCCTCCTTCCCTCTGTGATTTTCACGCTCCTCTTTTGCATCTGGACACTTCCTGCTGGGCCCTTCTAGCCTCGAGGTGTTGCCTTGCCTTAACCCTTTGAGTCTCTGTTGTTAGTATTCTAGGTGTCTAGCACCACGTCGAAAAGGTAACAGGAGACTCCGTATTATCCAACATTTTCCTTTATCTGACGTTCTGCCATCCCGTTTATGTCAGATAAGCGAGACTCTACTGTACTATTATTTATGGATTAATGGTAAACACAGCCCTTGTGTTTGGTTCTTGACAAAATATAACAGACAGAGAAATGAACCAGTCTCTGCATCTTTCTGTGGCCAGGGTATTGTTTTTTGTTTTGCTTGATGTTTTATTATTTGCTTATGAGTTTATTGTGTATTGTATGTTATTGTTGTCGGTGGCCTTGGCCTTTGTAAGCCGCATCGAGTCCTTCGGGAGATTTTGCGGGGTAAAAATAAAGTTAAAGATAATAATAATAATAATATTGGCAGTTGAAACGGGGGTGGGGGTTCATCTGCTTCTGTTCTGTTCTGATAGAACTAAAGCTGTCTTTTTTTCTCCCTCTCTGCAGTCAGGGCAGTGGCAGTTGGGAGAGGGATTTCATCTGCTTCTAGGCCTAGGCATGATGCATCTGTGTCTGCCTCCTCTTCTCTTCCTGTGATGCCAGGGCAGTATCAGTTGAGACTTGAGCATGATGGAGCAGTGCCTGCTTCTTCTCTCTTTCTGTGGCCAGGGCAGTGGCTGCTGGGATAGATCTGAATGTTCTGAAATGGTACAAAGGAATTGATCTGCATAGAGAACACAGGAGACATTGTGTTTTGCAAAATGGGAGGATTGCAAAGGAAACATTTTTTGTTTTTCTGGAAAACAAATTTTTTGATGGAAAAAACTCCGCTAAACTCCTTTTTGATGCAGAATAACACTTAAGAACATTTGGGTTTTTGTTGTTTTTATTTGACCTCAGGTCTATTTTGTCTTATGAGGGGCATTCAAGTCACCCTGTTATTAACAGCCCTGGATAGGGCTAGCAAACTCAAGGTTGTAGCAATTTCCCTTTTCTAATAATAATAATAATAATAATAATAATAATAATAATAATAATAGCCAGTAAAGGTGGTCCCAGTGGTGATTGGCACACTGGGTGCAGTGCCTAAAGACCTTGGCCTGCAGTTAAACATAATTGGCACTGACAAAATTACCATCTGTCAGCTGCAAAAGGCCACCCTACTGAAATCTGCACGGATTATACGCCGATACATCACACAGTCCTAGACACTTGGGAAGTGTCCGACGTATGATCCAATACAACAGTCAGCATAGTGACCTTGTTTGCTGTGTACTAATCTTGTATGTATCAAATAATAATAATAATAATAATAATAATAATAATAATAATAATAAATAACTTTCTTCTCATATCCTGCCACCATCTCCTGAAGGGACTTGGGGCTGCGTACATGGGGACCAAGCTCAACAAAAACAGACTAAAATATAGCACAGTTAAAATACATTGCTTTTCATTAATTAATA